CTGCGCGACATCGCCGCGACCGCGCACGCTGCTCAGGAGGACGAACCCCTCTGTGGTTCGAAACTAGTAGAGCTTTTCTTAGTACCTATTTTCACGAGAGTAAACCGCGATTTTTAGTTAACTTTATAAATATGTTTAAGCCTAGGTATTTTATATTTAGCATGGTACTTGTCTACTAGGTCATTACTAGCATGGGACCTACGTATAAGAAAACGCCAATATAGAATTTCATATTCTTGTATACTTAACTATTTTTTTTTTTTTTAAATGACTGTATCTAAACATGTTTCTATATAGGTACCTATATACCTACTTATCCATTTATACATACATAACATAACATCACACCTTTTATCCCCGAAGGGGTAGGCAGAGGTGTACATTATGCCACTGTACAATGTAACACCCTCTTTTCACTATTTATGTTATGAGTCCCATGTAATAGGGGGTGAGCCTATTGCCATAGGTATACCGGGCACAATTCCAGACTCCGTGCTACTACTGAGAATTTATAAAATACCCAGTAGTACTTTGCTCGACCCGGGAAACGAACCCGAGACCCCTTGCCCGGCAGCCGCACTTGCGACCACTCGGCCAACGAGGCAGTCTTATCCATTTATGTATGTACAATTATAATTTTAATTCGAAGAATTATAAAGTATAAATGAACAAAAAAAAAACAATTAATAGAACCTTTAACCTTTACCTTACGATTACTATTAGCTACCACAGTTTAAAAAACAAACAACAATTGAATTAAACTAACAAATTATAATGCTAGTAGTTCCCAAAATATAGTTTTTTTTTCAAACCGCACAATAACATTGATTTGACAGATGAATAAATTAAAAAAAAATCTCATAGTTCGGTACCTACGAGAAAATTACGTCATACACTGATTGTTGTCTATGACCTCAAAGAATAAATAAAGTCGAGATATTCTGATTGAAAAAAAAAACAGAAACGCTCGATTTATTTAAATTCATATTCATTAGCATAAACATTTGTTTTATACAGAATGCTGTAGTTAATAGACATTGTACTTTCCAAATATTAAAACAGTAATAAACCGATGAAGGTTATTAAAACACATTTTGAAAATAATTTGCACATTTATAAAGTAGCCAGTACCTATCAAAAATAGCAGTAGTAAAAATAAAATTCTAAAATCAAATCCTATAGAAATTCGTAATTAGGTTATAATAAGGTAGGTACAGTCGCCAAAGACGGCCGGATTGCTAAGATGACCCACTTTAAAAAAAAAACATTTGATACTTCGCAGGTTTATGGTATTAGCGTGCTACACAAAATGCATAAAATGCAAATGATTTTCATTACCGACGCATCGCCATTTTGAATTCAGACGACATTTTGCTTGGTCCTGGCTAGACGATGCCCGTTTTACAAAATCCATTATCTATCTTTATTTATCTTTTGAAAAATTATCGATTTCAAAACAAATATTTTTGTTTTAAGTTACTCTAAAAGTACAAAGTTACTTATAAAGTTGATCTCAAACTGAAATTATTTCTATTTTGTAGTTTCTTTTTATTTTATGGTCGATTTTAATTTTCGTAGGTTTAAAGTGGCCCACCTCTAAATTTTTGAATAATGTTTTAAGAAGAATGCCTTTTTATTACGACGTTTTATATTGTTTATAATGCTCATATTTGCAATAACTTTTTCGGGTCATCTTAGGCAACTGGGTTCCTAAAATGGAATGGAATAACAAGTTTAAAAAAAGTGATTGTTATTGTATCAAATTGGCAAAAAGCTGTCGTAATTTTTTAAATATCTCCATTATCAAATAAATATATAATAAAACAACCTCCAATATGTTTCTTCTCTACTTTATTTATCTATCTGCAAAATTTTACGAGGTTTAAAAATAAGAGGGGCCACATTAACTCGAAATCACGTCACTTTATTCCCACTTTATTATTTATTTAGATATCCATTAGTTCATCATATTTTCAACTTCGGTCAACCAACCTCACGAATTTTTTACCTTACTCAAAAATTACACTATCCACGGGAGAAAACCGCATTGTAATCTGTTTAACAGTTTATGAGTTCATCGCGTATATTAGACAGTTAGGTGCTGTAAGAGTCTTGTTTTTAATTTAAAAAATGTATAACAGTCGCGTAGCGTTTCGCCGAATGCTGCTCATGAATGAATTTGAGCCTCTAGCATGGCTTGAAACTAGTCGAGTTCCTCGTCAGACAGTTACGTGAGTAAGCCCAAAACATAATAATTACTTTTGTATGTCTCACGACAGTTATAATAGGAAAAATATACAAAAGTAAGGAAAGTTTGAGATTGAAGACGGACCGCATAGCTATCCTTAATATCAAAATATTTTTCTTCTATTAGAAAAGAAGAAGAATTTCTTTTATTAGAAAAGTTAAGTAATTAATAAAATATCTATCACCATTTTTGTGTAATAGCTATCGTGAGATGTACTAAATTAATTAAAGTGATGAATAAAATAATGAAGAGACTCAGTACGACTTGAATGTAGGATAGTTTTTCTGAATAGATGATCTGTTGTCATTTTATTTTACTCTTGCTGTATTCTACTATATAATTTGTATTACAACCCGGAGTTGTTCATAATAATAAAATACTTACCTATATATATCTATCTATGTTCATATTTATATTGTATTACGTTCATCGAAGCCTAAATTAGTTCAGCTAAAAGGCAACACGACATTAATTGACTGTTAGGCGGTACGAAGTTCGCCGGCTCAGTTAGTGTAAATAGTATTCATTTGTATCGGAAATAATCGCGTTAGATCGAACAATATCTTCAGCCTTAAAATATCAGATATCAGATATATCAATTAATAATAAACTTTGTTATCAAAGTTATCAAGTAAACAACGGCAATATCGTAATTTTTACTGAATGAATGGTATACGGACGCATTCATTGAGTTAAATTAATCATATCATTATTAATTGTGTTTATGTTATCAAGGTTTTATCTATAATGATAAAATGAAGTAGCAGATAAAGGTTTTTGATTGTTTGTTTGTTTTGTAAAGCTAATCTCACAACACTGATTACGCGGAATCAGTTTTTATATAGCAACAAATTGCGTTTCGTTTGATGCTCTCTGTAAATGGTCATTTTTAGTATTCTTTTATTTCATTTCCTCTGTTACTTTTAATGTATCTTAAATTGTACATGTTTATTTCTTTCCTTAATTATTTACATGTATTTGATGGCAATAAAAAAGATTGCAACAGTCGTATTTTGTAAAGTGAAATATAAAAGATTAATCAATCACATGTAATAGGAACTTAATTATTGTCAGACGAAAGTGCAGATAGAAACCTACTCTATTCTTTATTCACGCGTTAATCTAAATCATCTACTGCAGATGTGTAGAACTGTAGACATTAACGTACTTATAGTACGGTTTTAAATGTAGTAGTACTTATAAAACGCAAGTTTTTAACAATTTATACTTCTCATTCACTTAAAATTCTAAAGATAATTTTGTGTTTTTTAAACATGGATCAATTCAGCAATTTCTTTCAATAGGAAAGATGTTCATTCATGGATCAAAGATCGGTAAAACGTATATTTTTTTTAACCGTCTTCTGTTGTATATATTACCTAAGTATTGAATACGATTTGTGCTCTGTGCCGTTATTTATGTATTTTACAAAATAAACGAATAAACAACTAATATAGAGGTAGTATACTTATTGAAACCTATATACCTATACCTACATATGTATCTAATGAGCATACCTAATTTAGTAGTCACAATTTGGGACCGTTCTACATTAAAAAAATAATATTCTCTATGCTATTTACTAGGATTTTCTATTGAGTCAAGAAAGATTAAAAAAAAAATAATAATGAAAAAATCGTCCAAATAGTTACCTAGGTTCTTCAAATATTTTTCTACGTAGGCACTATCTAGCTACAAAATAGAAACTCTATAGTTTTCAAATTAAATGATAGAGTGGTTTACATGAATAGATAAGTTGCAATCAACATTACGGTACTATTTTAGTTTAGTTTCATTAGAAAATAAATGTCAGGGACAACATATTATACTGTAGGCCTTATTGGCTAGTTTGGCCCTTTACTCCATCTTCAGTATTGTTGTAGATATTGACAAAGAGTGACTTTAAAATACCTATGTAAATATTTTCTTCGCGCATTCTATCATAGGTAGGTATGCAAAATTCATGTACAATTCACATCTTTTAACTTTTTTTTTTATCGAAAGTGATCACCGATGTTAACTTGTTTTTGTAGTCCTAACTAACATATTTTAATTTTATTTATTTATTTTATATTAAATCTATTCGAGTCCCTGCTTAGGCCTAAATTATTTTGTTGCATTAATGGTTTGTCAAAGAGGAATCTGTAGATCTACCTAATAATTTCAATCTGTCTAGTTAGTTAATTTTTGGCAAATAGTGAACTCCGTCATTTTTTTACAAACTTAGCTACCAAGTTCGCGGTAAGATGTTATTTAGTTTTTGATAAAACAATTGAGAGGCGTTTGATTGTCTCACATGGAATTGAATGCAACTACTCTTAATGATGAAGACCAAGAACTGAAGGTTAGTTAGCCACGGACACAGAATGTAATAAATACCCACATATAATGGTAGTCCTCCACCAGCATGACTGTAAACAGCAGAGCTTAGCGATGGCGTCCCTCAGGGTGCTACATTGAGTCCACTATCATTCATGAATGGCAAGACGTTATTTCGAAGAACCGAGCAGAGTAACATCGATCAAGAGTCGAGTAGCACCGAGTCAGCCGCGGGCCGCGCGCCTACAGCACATCGTTGACCGCACACACACCACTTGACCGCTAATCACAACATACCTGCACAAACAAACGTCACAGAACTATATCCTTCGACTACGAACGACGCTCAAGCACTCTCGTCGGGACCTTCGCCACTCGAAAAATCAGCGGGTGGAGGGCGCCGCCCCCCCCTCCCGGCGATCGATCCACGCACCTGTACGGCGACGGCGGGTTGTTCGCCAGCTCCAGCTTGCGGTACTCCTCTATCGGCGACAGGATATCCGTGACGGAGAACGGGGTAGAGTGCTGAAGCTGCAGCTGGGACAGGTTCTGCTGCAGCAGCGCCGACTTAGGCGACAGGCTCATCGCCAGCTCGGCAGCGCTCAGTTCCGGCAGCGCCTCCGCCGGACACGGCGAGTAGTCGCCGCCCTCCGCGGACATCCGACCGGCCGACACTCGACGCCACTCGACGGCTCAGCCTCTAGTGGCTCTCGGGGCGAGAGTGGCGGCCGAAGCCCCCGGCGCGGGTTACGGCACTCGAGGGGCCCCGCCCCACGGCTGGCGCGCGGCCCTATCGCGCAGGCCGGGGGCTCGGATTGGCGGGCGGCGCGGCGGCCCGGCGGGTGTGGCTCCGGCCGGGCCACAGTCCGCGTCGCGCGGCGCGCCAGTCGCCACGGAGGGGGGGCCGCCGTCGCCGCCGGCACCGCTACACCTCACAACCAACTATGTATCCGTGTTTATGTTTGTTGTTAGGAATTTGTATGTGTACCTTTGTGTGTCTCGGCAAATACGCACACCCGGCGTTACCTACTGGCACAGTTCACTCGGCCGAGGGACTAGATGGCCTCCTGCTCGGTACTGCCTGCACAGCAAGGACTCCGCACCAACAATGTCATGATTATTGTGAAATTATAGTGCTACTGAATTCAAGAAAACAGTGTTTCAAACTAAGTTACAGTCTTTGCCAACCTACTCATCTTGCAGTATGCGGTTGTATCCATCGCTGTTGTGTAATATAATGACTACTTGTCGAAACATCTACTTACATGTTACGTTGGGGTTTTACCTTCAATAGATACTGTAACTTTAACATAATTTTGTTCCTGGTCAAGATCTACCTAGATACTAATGGCCTAGGTATAGAAAAGGTTTAGATTTTGTAACAATATTTTGTGTTTTAGAAAACAATATTTTGTGTCTGCGTCAGATTTACCACATTCTTTAGTTTTCTAAGAATATAAGTAGTTTAGGTAACCATCGTTTAATATTGTTGTATCGTCATAGTCAGAAATTAAGTGTTTACATGAATAGTCTACTTTTTTGAACCAGTCATAACACGGTCTCCTATCAAATAAATAAATATTTTATTGTTATTTGGTGCCTAGGTCTAGACGTGGTCTAGACCGATCTAAAGGCTGGGCCATGAAGAATCAGATGCCAAGGGTATCTAGTGCTTACAAGCACTTAGATACCTAGTGTTTGAGTTCCTTGCCAGATATATAAACATTGTACAATGTTAGTGCTATGGTGAGAATGGAAAAGGTGACAGATTAATATTTATTAGTTAGAGGAAGCCTGAAAGTAGCAGTATCAAAGAAACTGAGAGATAAACATATATTTTGATGGCCAACTAAATGGGTATAGATGGAAAGGAAGAGGACAAGCCAAGGAAAGATGGATACACCGTATAACTAGCTTCTCTCAACGGCTTCGCCAGCGTTCCTTGTGGTATTCCACAACATAATCTCTACTGTTCTAAATTGGTTCACCCTTGTTTGATCGATATAAAATTACTAAATCGAACAACGTTTAAGAAAATCATCAATTACTTATAATATCGTTTGACAAGAATTTTCAGTTCGTCGAATATTTATTTGCTAATATTAAAATACAAAATAGCATACTAGATCTCAATGAAAGTAAATTTAAAACACATATTAAGCGCGAATTATGCAATCAAGCTTATTAAACACTGACAGATTATCTTGACGATAAGAATGCTTGGCAGCATGTTGGTTCGGCTCCACTGGACAATACTCAAATGTACTCAGTAGTTAGATTCCAATAGTAGGTAATTTAATAATTTAATACTTTTATTCTAATGTAGGTAGACAATCTAGTTTCCTTATGGCATCGAGGATTTCTTACTTTATTGAAACAAAGAGTTTCTTTTTTCTTGTTTAGAAGCATTATTTTTACGGATTGTCAGTATGCATATGTGAGCACCATGTTAGACTAAGATTTATATTTGTTTTATTTTTTTTATTTTAGAAAGCTTTGCAATTAGAATAATGCGCCAAGCGTGTCTTTGTATTGTCCTCACATATACGTACAGTATTGGAATATGTGTCAGAGACATTGTAGAACATAGGAGTAACGAATGGAGTTTCTTGTTCGTTCTTCTCCATTCGAATCTACATTTTGGAATGAGCACCTAGCTGTCCCTAGCTTCACTGACGGACTGACTGACAGACTATTATTTATTTTGTATTTATTGACGTTTTAAAAGTACCAAATTATGGTTTAATTGAAATAAATGCTTTGACTTTGACTTTGCTATAACAACATTTGCGCTAATGTTCATTTGATGTAATGTTCAGATATTGTATATTTTGAACTAGAAAACAGTGAAACTAATCTTAAATTACTTGCAATTGCTTTTAGTAAATCTAAACCTTTTAGCAAATTTTTTGGGCACCCCGACACATTTGCGAGCGAGCACTTAGCAGGCGAGCGACGCCGCGGCAGCGGCCGCCGAGCGCTATATTTATTTATTAATTTAAAAAGTCAAAAAGTCAAGTCAAAATCATTTATTTCAATTAGACCAGGATGGCGTTTGAACGTCAAACAACAAAAATTTAGAAGTGAAGCTAGTTGCTCATTCCAAGGCGTAGATTCCTATGGAGAAGAACGAGCAAGAAACTCCATAGGTTACTCTTTTTCAATCAGGTTTACAATACAATTCTCTAGTTACATAGTTTTGTTGGTTCGATTATGTGAGAACAATGCAACACCTAAATCCAGTCACAAAGACTGAAAAAAAAAAGATATTTAAACTTTAATGTACACAGTAACAAGTAATGGTACATAAGGCGGACATTAATGCCATATGGCTTTTCTCCCAGTCAACCTCTATATCACTAACTGCTTTTCTAATGTTCAATACCATTTAGTCGTTTATATTAAAAACATTAGTTTCAATAAAATTAGTGCATTTGGAAATTCAGTGAAATAAGACACACTCACAAACTTTAGCATTCATAATTTTAGTAAGACTGGAAGAAAGTGACTTCGACTTTAGAACTTTTAGATCCCGACTTACAGGAGTTACAGATTAGACTTATCTATTTAAATATCTTGAGATGAGGGCAGGATGGCAAGCAAACTTAGTGAATATCCGCTATGTGGCTAGCAGTAGTTGAATGCGAAGGGTAAAGATCAATATTGAAGGAAATCGAATTCACGACACGTTCCACAGCAGCCATTTGCTAATCCGCTGCGGTCAAAACTAGCATCTCAGCCGACCCTTGAAAGTCACCAGGCGTAATGTTATATTACTTTTACTAGTTGAGTAATGTAGGTATCTCTGCAGATATACTACTGATAGTGTAGAATATTATAGATGGCTATTTATTTCCAATGTTAAACATTCAATTGCTCGATTAGCGCAGTGATGCTGCGCACGTGTCGCAGATTGGATCCCGCATGGAACAACTGTTAATGTGATCCACATATTTATAAATAAAACAAAATAAATCTACTACGTGGTTTAGAGCTCTGTACTACATGGCGTAGTACTCCGTGCTACATGGCGTAGCACTCCATGCTACATGGCGTAGTACTCCATGCTACGTGGCGTAGCACACCATGCTACGTGGCGTAGCACTCCATGCTACATGGCGTAGTACTCCATGCTACGTGGCGTAGCACTCCATGCTACGTGGTGTAGCTCTCCATGCTACGTGGCGTAGCACTCGATGCTACGTGGCGTAGCACACCATGCTACGTGGCGTAGCACACCATGCTACGTGGCGTAGCATTCTGTACTACGTGGCGTAGCAATTAAATACATGTATGTTGTTTGACCTTCAAAAGTGCCTTATTCGTCTGATTGAAATAAATTGTTAAACTTTTATTTAGATATTTTTAAATGTTTTCCTTTCCATAAGCGTGATTGCACGAGGACGAGGATTTCTTTTCAATGAAATGCATACTGCTCATACTTACATTATTTTTATTTGTCAGTTTCGTGCTCGCCTGCGCTACGTGGTACTGACTCGCAGCACTCCGTTCCTGACGATAAGGAACATCTTCGCAAGCAGTCTCCCCGACCTGGCCGCGGAGCAACAGCTGCAGGACGGACAGGTCCTCGAAGATGCACAGGTACTAGCTCGTCAAGAATCGAGGATTGGTATATTACTTAGTCAAAATGAATTTTACTTATAATATCATTAGTCTTACTTATCCTGATATGTACTATATTAAAATAAATAAGTAAATAAATGACGATGCAGTATCACTATTAGTATAAAACAAAGTCTATCCGCCGTCTGTCTGTCCCTATATATGCTTAGATCTTTTAAACTACACAACTGATTTTGATGTGGGTTTTTTTAATAGATAGAGTGATTTTTAAGGAAGGTTTATATGTATAATAAATGCATATTGCACCCTACGAAGCCGGAGCGGGTCGCTAGTGATAAAGTGAAAAACAGAGTAATTCAGTGAACAGGGATTCCATTGAAAGAAAGAAATAACATAACATAACATCACGCCTTTTATCCTCGAAGGGGTAGGCAGAGGTGCACATTATACCACTGTACAATGTAACACCCACTTTTCACTATTTATGTTATGAGTCCCATGTAATAGGGGGTGAGCCTATTGCCATATACCGGGCACAGTTCCAGACTCCGTGCTACTACTGAGAATTTTTTAAAAACCCAGTAATACTTTGCCCGACCCGGGAATCGAACCCGAGACCCCTTACCCGGCAGTCGCAATTGCGACCACTCGGCCAACGAGGCAGTCAACAACAACAACAAAGTCAAAAAGAAAGAAATAAAACAGTGTATTTGCACTATTACAAAAATTAAAACAAGAATAGTAACAAAATAATAGTAGAATAGTGTACACGACGCAAAAAGGCCAAGCGCTCAGCTAAAATGCCGTGACCCGAAAGCGATAACTCGAGTCGCGGCGCTGATTTTCAGCACTAGCCCGTCACCATAATATAATAATAAATAAATAATATGAGCAATTATTATATAAAAATAAATAATAAAAAAAATTGGTTGCCTGTAAAGTCGGTATACGGGCGAAAGTTTTACGTGACAACGACTTTGAGTGGTAAAATAATTTTAATGTGAATATTCATTCGTATAGTAGGAAGAAGGATGAAATAATGAAGCGCAAGACATGAACCGGTGTGTATGCCTATC